GTCGGAAATGACCTATTTTAAAGTTACAAGCTTCTGACTAAAATTATAATATCCCAGGATTATAAAATGAGATTAGGCTTTAATTATTACCCATGTATTTAAATTATAAGCAACAGTTTTCCCCCCTTTTCGCTCAGTGTCTTCCGGCATCGTAGTTAGTGGCAAAAATCATTCTAATGACAGCAAAACGTAAAAAGCTCGGAAAGTGTTAAGTGGTTCCTCATTAAAGTTTATGTACTTCTCTGCTCTGCTCCGTTCGGTTCGGTTCGGTCCGCTCCTGTCCCGCTCCTCGGAGTGGGTTTTTGTTGCTGTTGCTGTTTGCTGCGGGGGCGACCGGAAGGATGGGGCTTAAACGATTGCCCGACCAGCGTCATTAGCACTTTTAACCGCATATTAAATTTAGTAAAGCCTTGATTAATGGGCTCGCACTTCATTTTTGTGCATTTGACCGGTTCGAAGTTGCCTTTACGGTTCCCCGTATCTGTATCTGCAGCCGTGCTACCGAAAATCTTATCTTTCAATGAGTCGCAGAGACAAATGACACGTGATTTTATTTGATTTACTTACATCTGCAGCTCAATTTTCAGTCTGACTTCTGGTGAGTCGAGAGTCTCGCTTCCCGCTTCCAGCTTTTTGTCACTGGCCTTTCTTATGGCCAACAGTTACAACAGATACGGATACAGATACAGATACAGTTACAGTTACAGATACAGTTGCCTGCCTCTTCATTTGGGCCATTATCCGAAATGATTCGATCATTAGCGACGTCGTTCCTGGCCACAGTCGGGATTGTTGTGTTCTTTCGGCATTACGGGTAATTACTGGAATGTTGTGACAACATTTCCCTGCCTTGTCTTCAAATTACTTAATTTTAATGTTCGGCCATATCGCACGAAAAGATTGAGACGTGTAGGGAAATTTATACGTCCTATTGTAGGTGGGCAACCGTCTTTCATTATTTATTTTGATCAACTCTACAGTTGGCAGCGGTAATTGAAATCAAATAGGTAATCATTTCAATTCTATCTGATGACATAATGAAGAGAATACGGGGAGAATTGAATTAAATGATGTATCTTGAACAGTATGAGGGAACATTTGGAAACCTGGTGCTGTCAAGGGGAATACATTAGTCTTTTCTTTAGCTTTCATAAAATTGCTATAGCAATGCTCAAAGTAAAAAAATATAAATGTTCTTTAAAAAAAACCTTTACTAATGTTTTCTATAAAACTCACTTCCAAGAAAATATGTCAAAATAAACTTTTTATTAAATAATTTAAAACAATTGACTCAGAATCCATTAATAATAATCACCAACATACTTTGGAAATCAGTTATTTCCTCAAAAGTAGTGTGTTATTAAATTTTAAAATAAAAAACAAAGTTTAAGCGTTTTTGAAATCAGCAAAAGCTGAACTTTAATCTAAGAATCTCTGTACTTACTTTCCATGAAATTATTATTTACATAGTTGTGTTTTTATTATATTCTTAATGTTTTCCATCAATTCAACTTATAGTAGATTTTTAAAATCGGAAAATGTGTATAAAGTTGTATTTAATTATATTCAATATATTATTATAAACTATAATTTTCAAATATAAATTTAATTAGATATTTAACCTTGTTTTCTCGGTTTTCGAAATATTGAATAGTTTTATATTTCAATATTGAAATAAAGTTTTATAGTTTTAAACTAAAACCGTATTTCATAATACTTATTTAATCACACTTCCAAAACCTGCTATTCCCAATCATATTTTCATAGAAACCAAACAACCGGCGGCAAGTGGCCGGCGGACCATCTTTTGGATCGCCGGCAAATGGTTGCTCCTACGGCATGGCGCTTCTGGTGGGAAGCAACAACAACAACTCCGCACTCACACACACACACCATCACAGGGGAGCTGTCGGTGCGGCGGCCATATTGAAAGTCAGTCAAGTATTTCGAAACCCAGGGGCGGAGCCAGTCGACGCGCATGCCCCCCGCCGGTGTTCGGGTGCGAGCGAGGCGACAAGTGTGTGCGTAGAGTGCGTCGCATGCGGAGCGGCCATGCCAATGCCACCGTTATGACCGGGATGCGGTGCGGCGAGCTGTGATGGTATTTAGCGGCGTGGCGCTGCCTCGACGTCGCATGCGCATCGCATGGCAGAGAAGGAGGAACTGCCCAGGTCCGCTAGCGGGTCCGGGTTTCAGGTCCGTCCCGGTCAGCTCTCGAACTTCGAACTCGAATTCGAGCTCGAATTCACCCTGGTGGTGTGGGTGCTCTCTCCCAGGTGTCTTTGGGTGTATTGGTGCGACAATGCACTGGTATGGGTGCGATCTCCGAACTTTCGCAGTTCGAAATCGGTTTCGAACTCGACTCAAAACCGGACTTGGCAGAACTGGTTTGGTCTGAGCCCATCTACCTGCCAGCCTGCTGTTCTCCGACTGTAGTTGTATCTGTATCTGTAGCCCTCCACATGTATCTGTAGGTTGGCCTGCGACTGCGACTCCAATATCCCGGCACAACCACTGCATTCGGTTAGGCGGTTGCCCGAATCGCTTTTTGGGAGTTAATATTCTATTAGAGCCTCATTTGCGGGGATTGCCAGCCAGGATGTGTAATAGCAATGGCTTTCTGAATTGAATCGGATTCGGGGTAGTCGTTACAAGCTCCCTCGAAGTTTGTTTTCCACATCTAATTACGGTTCAGGCCGTATGATGCGTATGATTTATGTGCTCCCTCAATATCGCCTTGATGGATCGATCGAGCGAGCGAGCGATCGATTGATGGATTGTGTGAACCCCGTATCCGAGCACTTGTCCGCTGCTCGCAGTCTTCATTATTGGCTCGAGTGGATTTCTGACATCTTGCTTTGTCTTCTACAAATTCTCAACCGGTCTCAATTTGCTAGCCGTAATTAATGATTTATCTCAGGCGTTTTGAAGTGTTGTCTTAATTCCGGCGAAGTGATTATTGATAGTTTCTCCATCACACTCACCCGAGATCCGAGAGATTCGAGAGATCCGAAAGTGTGAGACGTCTCAAGTGACTTGGCATCCATCTCCGATTGGCCCTAGGCAGCTGTCTTGTCCGCCAACAAATGTTGCACTTTCCTTGTTTACAGATGGCGAAGGTTACAGATGATACATCAGGCATTTACATCATTATTTTCGGCCACTTGTTACGGATCGTTCAGACTTTTATTGGGAACGCGGAAGACAAAGTCTCTAATTTAGACACATCTGCCTGAGAGTCAAAACAATTTGTAAATTTATTTAAATAAATTCTAAAGAGCTTTCTTAAAGCATAAGTTGATTGTTGTTGCGTTTTTACAATTGCTTCTTTCATTTCTTTCTTCATTTCTTGCAGCAAAGAAATTTATAGAATTATAACAAATCAAATAACTTTATTTGTCTTACAATTTAAACTAGTTGTACTGACTATATACTATACTTAAAGAGACTATAATATCAGACTGGTATAAGCTATTTGCAAATTTACAAATCCCTATATTTGTATTTTTAATAAGAATTATCTCTCTTTAAAGCAATGGAAGGTGACTAAAATGTAGTTCCTTCACCAGACATTTCATTATAATATTGCTAGATTTATATCATCATCTAAACATTGTGGATGATTTAGTAAAATTACAAAACTGCCCCTCGCATATATACTTGTAATAAGCCATAGAACTCATTATCACACCCCATCGAATGCAAGATTCACAGCATAAATATGTTTACATTCATATCATACTATAGTATATATACTCTATAGACTAGGTAAGACTAATTCTGTTTGCGGCCAAGAAGGAACCATTTTTAATTAACTTCAGCAGACCGAAAACCAAATAGGAACTCAAACTTGGCAGAAAATCTTGTGGGAATGGATGCGTCCTCTCGATGTCGCTGATTCGGCCATGGAAATGGAATATTCACGTTCGCATCCGTGAGTCCAAATTGGCAGCTGCTCAAAACTGTGGCTATTTATGTCAACTAGGGATGCGGACACCTCGGCGTCTATATCGCGCACAAGGATGGCTGCTCTGGGAACTCTAGCGAGCGCAAAACATTCTGCCGAATTATTCATGTGATTCTGTGTGACACAAACGTGAGCACATTCACTGAATACTCGATTACAAATGGCCGGCGATTATGCGAACAATGCAAATTCAATTTGTTTGAGCTCCTGACTGGCCCGGAGATCGGGTTGAGTTCAGTGCGCGGCGGGTTTATGCGGGTGGAGCAGCTGCTTGATCGTGGTCTTCGGGTCCGGATCTTGGCTCAGGTGTCTGGGGTTGGCCACTGACCGGTGTTGGTCGTTAATGCCACGTGATTAATCGCTTATTATGATGTCAGATTAATAAGATCGTTTTCAAAAATGGTCCGTGTTCGGGGCCTGCAAAAAACAACAATGTAAATATTCAGTTTGCCATTCTACTTGAAATTGTTATATCAATTCAGTGGCTTACCCTCTGACATAATCGTGGGCTCTCCATTCGCCATTTTCTGATTCGAAGTCACTGGAAATAAATAAAATATTAATACAAATTTTAAACAAATACAGCAAAACTTACCTTTCCATTAAGATTGTTCCGTGTTATCTAAGACCAAAAGAAACCATTTAAATAAGAAGCATGGCAGAATTAAATTTTTAAATACTATATTTTTATTATAAATATTACAAATAAAAACAAAATCTCATTTGTAATTTAATTATAATTTTTCTTTATGCTTTTTCGCTTTGCCTTTGCAGCTCTTACACTGCCGCCTCCTCGTCTTCTTGTTTACACTAAAGTTTAAATTTTATTTACAACAAATTGTTTAGCTTCCACATTTCGTTTCAATTTCGCACAAATGTTTAAGTGTATTTAATTTTTTTTTTTTCGTTTTTTTGTATTTCAAATATATATATTTTTCCAACGCTTTTGAATTTTGTTTTTTGTTTGTATTTTTTTTTTTTTGTGAATTCTACATTCTATTTTTTCTGTAATTTTTTCCAATTTTTTCTCGTTTAATTTTTAAGTTGAAACTTATGTATTTAGTTTCTTACAGAATGAGGCCGAAAGTTACGTATCTGGATTGAGTTGAATTCCGCTCTCAAGGGTGTGTTATATAGCCAATGCATTGTGAAGGTTTTCTTTCGATTTTCGCTGACTATTTTCTCTTCTTGCAAATCACAAATCCTTTCTACTAGGATTGGGAATCGGTTTTGGGGAAAGGGTCTCTGGGGTGAGGGAGAGGATTTACAAAACGAAACGCTCTACAGAGTTACATGTTTTATATTAGGCTGTTTAATTATATATATCTACATATAAACATATTATGCTTTATAGTTTTCCCTTCCCAACTTAATCTTTTCTCCTTCGTTCCTTTGACTTTGGTATATGGATTTCCACAGATGGCGTGGAAATTGAGTTTGAGTTACGTACATACATTTAAATAGTTTTTTAGGCATATAATCATATTGAAATCGCTCGGTTCTGCCTTCAAGGGGAGTTTAATGCATAATAATGCATTCATTTTACTACTTTACATGGGGTTTTCTTGTCTGCCTTTATTATTTATACATATTCTTTGTGTTCATGTAACAATTTATAATTATATTCCTCTTTACTTTGCCAATTCGTATTTTATGCATTTCGGTATACTTTATATCCTTTTCGACCTAATTCGAATTTTACTTTTGCAATGAAAAAAAAAAACTAAAAATTGCACAAAACATTACAAATTAAGGAAAAACTAAAGAAAATAATTGAGGAAACCCCAAAATTGGGCTCCACTTGCGAGTTTTAAAATGTTTAATTTGTCAATGAATTTTTACACATATCATCTGAAGTTTTGCCAATATCCTGCGATTCTGTCAAGCTTTATACTTCTGTCTGTCTGTGGATAGGTTTTATTTTGAATTGTTTACTTTAAGCGACGTCTTTTGGTATCTCTTTGTCTGAATGAATCTTTTGTTATTTTCATTTATGAAATAGTTTTGGGGGTTCTAGAACCAGCATGCAATGGATTTCGACGCCACTTGTAGATTTTTTGTAGATTTTTTATTGGGTTTTATTTCGTAGTTTTGCGCTAGGATTGCTACAAACATTGATTTAGTTTAATGTTTACGTTTTAGGTTTTACGGTTTATGCTGGGTGTATACATATATAAGTTAATCGTACAGTACTTATGACGCATAGAGCTAATGTTATCGTGTATATATAGTATATATGCTTCATATATATTTATTTATGTATAACTCTAACTCCTGCTCTCCTGGCTCTAGCTTTACTTGGTATCATGTATAGTTATCCATATATTTATGTGTATATAATATATGCATTATAGTTAAATATAGCTTATTTAGATCTGAGGTCACATGAGTTGGTTTTGTTTGAGTTTTACGCTTTACTTGTATCTCCATCGTAATCGTTATCTTTACGTTAACGTTGACGTTTACGTTTACGTTATCTTCTTTCGCTTCCTCCATTCGCCCGTGTACAATTAAATAATAAGTAGAAAATAATAACAATTAACTAAGTTGTAGGTAGAGTTCTCAGCTCTGCTCTTTGTTTAGTGTGCTCCACGCGCAGTTCAACGGATTGGATAGATATAGATAGATAGGATGTCCTCTGGGATCGATCGGAGCACTCTCCGAACTAACGTAAATTGCATTTAAATAGAAATTTCATTTAACTGGTGAACTGGTGAAGTGGTGAAGTGGTGAACTGGTGAATGGTGAGCCCATCCTGCTCTGGATTCACTGTGGACTATTGGGTGGCGTTATCTCATCGCCCTCGCCTCCGGATCCCGGCTCGCCCTTCGTCTTGTTCTCCTTCTTCCACTTCATGCGCCGATTCTGGAACCAGATCTTGATCTGGCGCTCCGTGAGGCACAGGGCGTGGGCAATCTCGATCCTTCGCCGGCGGGTCAAGTAGCGATTGAAGTGGAACTCCTTCTCCAGCTCCAGTGTCTGGTACCGCGTGTACGTTTGCCTTCCGCGTTTGCGTTCTGTTGGTTTGGAGTAAAAAATAAAACATTTTCCACAATTAAAATCAATGCATTGGATGTGAGTTCACCAATAATCAACAACAACAACAGCAAATTCTACTATTTCTACAGGTCCAATACTACGGTGCATACAACAACAACAAGAGTCCGAATAAGATACACCCTAACATATATACTCGTTTCTGTATCTGTATCTCGCTTTGTGTAAAGAATCGGATGAGGGATCGGGTAGGGATCGGGATCGGGATTAGGGGAACGGGGCAACCCAAAACCACATGAAGCAAGGCGCTGTGACTCTGAAACTGAGGCTGATTAAAAGACAACCTTACCGAATTCGGATATTTGTACTTGTCAAAAAAAAAAAAAGAGAGGGAAAACCAGGGCCTACAACAGGTCTGTGACGAGGGGCGGCCCGCCGAAGGGGTCTACTACTCGCTCCTCGGTCGGCCATCCCGATAGGGAACTCCGGGTTTAATTTTCAACCAATACTCTTTCAAGGGTTAACATGACTTGGAGATCATGATGGTTTCTTAAGAAATCTAATAAAAGTTTATATTTTATAGGTGAGGTATTGGTGTTTATGAAATATTTAACCAAAATGCGGCAATGTCTTTATTACTTAAACGAATTGTGTTCTTAAGAAATTTAAAATTTATTAGTTCAATATCTTTATCATTTAAAAAAATTCTAATTAATCCTTTACCCAGATTATTTAACAATTTAATAAGTCGTTGTGTTGATAAACATAAATTCCAGCTCATTTTGGAAACAGCAACATTATGAAAATGGAATCTAAAACAGATCTCAGGGGTTCCTTTATGATTAAAATCTTATAATTTGATTTATCAATATATTCGCTTTATGAATAACTATATTTTAAAGTATTCCCACAACTTTCTCAACTGGAAGCTGGCCTTATCCTTTTCTGGGGAAGTGCATCCCATCTTCGTTCTGATCACTAAAATCTCGTTTCACTTGTGGATTAAACTCGGCGGAGATTTCATGGACATCAAGCGGCGAGCAGACAAGGTAACTAATTATGCCCCAATGCTGTCTGTCCGTCTGTTTGTCCGTTCATCCGTCTGTTTGTCCCTTCGTTTGTCCGCTCGTCTGTCTGTATCTTTGTCCGTTAAGCGGAGAGGTATCATGGCTGTGATTCAGTCAAGTGCAGTGTTTCACCATCGGGACCCGCTCCCTACCCCCTGCCCCCTCTCCCCTCCCCCCTTAGGACGGTAGCTGGGCATAACTGTAAAATAATTCGGCATAATTACGACCCACCCCCCCTGCCTTGGCTCCATTTCGAAAGCAACCAACCAAATGAGTTCGGCGCCTAATGACACTTACTATAATTATAATTTTCGGTAATGACAAAAAAGAGCACAGTGAAAACGAGGGGGGGGGGGGGGAACAAAAATATGTCAAATATAATACGCAGCAGCAAATATTATAATTGTCAATGGCCAAGTAGTCGGAGGCAGGTAATTGAAATGGGTTGCTAGCGTGAGAAGCGACTTTTGGGCGGAGTTTTCCTGCCTCTATATCTTGAGGGTTTGTTCTGACTTTTGTTGTTGCGCATTTTCGGGTTTTTTGGGGGTTTTGGAAAATGTCCGGCCGGAAATTGAAAGGCGGCCACCGCAACATTGGCATTGCGGTGGCTCTTGGCCAACCACGCCAAGCGGCAATCAGTGGAAGCCACCACCACCTCCTCCACGTCTCTCTCTCTCCCCGAAAACCCATCCTGCCCGAGGTGGGCAGTCTTAACTATTTTTTAATAACATCTTCAGCATTTGTCTTGCTCAACTCGCTCGTCCAATTTTTTGTTTCTTTTTCTTTTTTAATATTTTATGTATTTTTTTGTTGTTGGCTTCCATCTCGAGCTCGAGGTCATTACATCATAAGCTCGTAGTTATTTTTTCTTCTGTATTTTCAGCGGCATCCATTAAGGCGCGCGAATCCAAATCGCTTAGAACTAGGGAGGGGGAGGGATAAAAAAAAGGGAGGAAGAAGGGGTGAGGCTGTGTGGCACAGCGGTGGTCAGAGGAGCTACCTTCTTTTAAATGACACGGCTGATGCCATGTCTATAACCCGAGGCGTTCGCATTTAATCATCATCAGTTAGACGAGTCGCTGTGCCGGCAAAAAAAATAAAATAAAAAAATCTACAAAAAAATCTTGAAAGATTTGTGGCAAAAAGCGTGCGTGGTCATCCCCCTTGGCAGTCTGCGAAGAATCCATGGGGGAAGTCCCAGAGAGTTGGATATTAGGAGCGGATTAAGAGCGGAATAAATGGGCTGGACTTTCACCCCACTAGAGACAAAAAAGTGAGAGGAACCTTGGTAATAAAGAAATTCCTAATATAGTTTAAGATATATAAAAGATAATTCAAATATCAAGGTACTATAAACTGTAATATCTTCTTTAATTTAATTATACTTTCCTACAATTTAAAATATCTTTATCAAGTCAAAACATATTTTCAAGCGGAACATTTATTATAATGACGACATGAATTCTTTAATTTATCCAAACCAAATATACATTAAGTATGCAGACTTCTCAAGCGATCCCTATCTTGCCTTTCAGCTGGTACACTTTCAACACATTTTCATTACCATTTCCATTTGCATTTCCACTCCCATTTCCCGCAACAGAAGCTTTGCTAATAATTAGCAAAACACAAAACTGTACGCCTCCCCCTCGGTGCACTGCAAATAAATGATTATTTTAATTGATGAAAACACCTACAAGCTGGCTTCTACTCTGCCATGAATATGCACATACTATTAAGACGGGGGATCCCCCTGGAGCCAAAGGGGTACTGGGTTTCATATTATTATTTTTTTTTCTTTTGTTATTTTGAGAGGGCCAACAGTAAGTGGTTTGGTTAGAGGGGCGTGCATTGGCAATTTAAGAGCGGGCGCTCACTGAAATTTGTTTTTAATGATGCCCTTGCAAATTTCATGTGGCCATCGCTCAGAAAAACCCAAGAAGAATGTCTACAAAAAGTATACTATATACTATATAGTAAGGAAGACAGGAGAAGTTGAGAAATTCCAGTTTTTTCTCTTAGATACTTTCAAGATCAGTTGCGGCGCCCATTTCTGCCCAGGAGCTTCGAAATTGAGCACTGAAAAATGATTATAAACGCATTAATGGAGCACAGGTAAGAGAGAGGGGCCCCAGGTGGAGGTATCAGCAGCAGAAATATAATAAAGGTGAAACAATTAATATGAAAAAGAGTAGCGATACATGTGAAGTACCAAAGGCACGCCCTTCCTCTATATACACACACTATATATATACAGAATATATATAAAATATATATATATATCTGTATATATAGTGGCCTGAGTGGTTCACTGACGAACCGAGTGGACCGGGAGGGGCATTAATGCTTTTTGATATGAAAGCGTATTGTAATTAAATTGCGATTAGGCCACCATTTTAACCATTTTACTCGTTTATTACACTGCTCCCCGGCACCATAATGGATTTTATTTCATTTTCTTCCCCTCTCGTCTATACTCCCCCCTCTCTCTGCTCTCCATCAGCTGCCTCCTGGCACACACAATTACATTAGTGGTGTGTGGAGTGTGTGTGTCGGTTAACGTTTAAAGGAAATCATTAAAATAATTGCTAACAACATTTTATGGAATTCGTTGAAGCAGGAAAAAAATTAAAAAACATTATTTAATAGCTCAACACAAAAAAAAAATAATTCTATTTTATAATGAATTATTATATTGGCAAAGATTGCTTTTTCATCAATCACCAGGCACGTCGAGCGGAACTAGAACAATGGCCAGCATTGTGAGGGGAAGTCGAGGGGGAAAATTCATTAATTCATTAAATTTAACAGGATATTTTATAGTTATTTTATATTTTTTAGTTATATTTGAAGTATATATTAATAGCCTTAATGAAGGAAGAGTACTCATTACTCTTTTTTTTTTAGAAAGGAGAAAAAACTGTCACTTACATTTATGATTTTGATTTGTCTACAAAATATCTCAATAATAATATCTTTTAATAATCTGATTTTCTTAAATATATAAGATTCCCCCAGCAATTGTTAAAATTTCCATTCCAAAAGCCAATTTATTCTTGGCCAAATTGGCCTCTTAGCCTTATAGATAACCTACAAAACACTAACTTGGCCCCGGGTTAAGGCCAAATCCAATCTCCACTGGAAGTTGGGTGGTCACCGTCTCAGCCGCAAGTTTCTTGGCCATAAAAGCCACTCGTCATGCAACAAATAGAAAAATGCATTTAGCAGCAAAACAAAACGAAACGTAAACAAGTACAACAAAATCAAAAAAAAAAAAAGCTGACATCAAATGCGAGTAAATGTTTTTTTAATTGCGGAAATTACAGACAAACGCGAGCCGCCGCAACAAAAGCTGGAAAATTATTATTATTTATGATCGTAAGTTGATAAATTTTTCACCCAGCTGAAGAGTGTTCGTGTGTGGCATTTTGTGAAACTAAAAAGCGAGAAAAAAAAAGAGGTGAGGCCCTGGGTACCGCTGGTTGATGTCACTCCGGTTCTAGTGCGAATCTGCCAACTCATTCGATGACTTTGTGCTAAATAAATGGTGGGGTCTTGGTAGGGCGGAGGGGAAGCTGGGTCGGGGATGAGATTTTTCCAAACCAAAAAGTTGTTTCGTTCTTCCGCCCCCTTTGATTGTTTTGCATATTTGACGTATTTTTGCCATCGCAAAACTTTTTCACAACCTTTGGGGACCTGCCCGAAAATGGCACAAAAAAAGGAGCAAGAAATAAATATAAAACCCAGAGTCCTTCTGAGGTTTGATGTCTTTGACTGACCCACCAGCAATTTCTCTCTTTGTTCCCCCATTTTTTTGGATTGGATTTTTTAATTAAGTTCAAGAATTTTGGTTTTTATTGCCAGAGGTAAGAGTAACAATTAAATATGGACATTGACCATTTGATCATTTGTTACCACTTTTTTTTTGTGTAATTTTCATCTGGTTTACCCTT